AGAGAGAGGAGAGAGAGAGAGAGAGAGAGAGAGAGAGAGAGAGAGAGAGAGAGCCTCCTATCCCACGCAGCTTGGAATTGACTTTTGTGGGAAGAATGACACTGAACTTCTGATCCTCCTGCCTCCACTTCCTGAATGCTCAGATTCCTGGTGTGCACCACCATGCTCAGTTGATGCTATGCTGAGAATTGAAATTTGGATTTCATGAACACTGTACACCCCACCAACTGAGATACATCTGCAGTCCCACACTTTATACCCTTTTGATGCAGGGTCCGTTTATGGATTCCAGGCTGACCCGTGGTTTGGAACGATCTCTGGACTCCAGACTGACTTCAAACTCACCATCCACCTGCCTCAGCCTCCTGAGTGCTAACATATATAGCTGCATTTTAAATTTAGGCACATCCACAAGGAAGTGCTAGTGAATTGAATGATCTGCCCAATAAAGGAAACAAACATTCCTAGTAGTTAATAGATGGATCAACGGGCTTTTCTTTTCACATTTCATCTCTCTTCTATTATAGCATTTACCCTATTTCTGGTTTTCTTTTAAAACTTTAACAGTTACAAGTTTTTTTTTTTATCCAAAGCACAGAATTGGATGTCATCACCCCAGTAGAGAGAATGATAGCCAAGTAGCACAGATAGTTTTATTCTCATTCAACTGTCTCTTCTTCTCTAAATACCATTGATCAAAAACTGTATACTTAAAGTTAAAAGGTAGAGATTGTTGGGGTTAAGTATAACACCCAAAAGAAAGACACCTTGTAAACAATCCCCCCAGCACAAAACAGAGGTGCTGTTGAGCCAAACCTCAGTTTCCTTTTTAGTTTAGACAGCAAGGCACCCATTAGGTATGATCATCACATATTTATTTTGTTATATCTGGGACTAGGAATGATGATGGAGGGGAAATATCCAAGTCAAACCATGGTGTACACATGTTTTCTTTTTCCTTAATCTCTACATTTCTTTTCCTTGTCACTTTTCAATCTTGACTGTTTGGTCCATTCTCAACAACAGAAAGGATTTTCTACACATTCAAACAATGGTAAGAAAAGTATTTCCCAGAATTACGAGGTTGGGTTCCAAACCATAGCAAGCTCCTTTGCAATTAGTTACCACGATCATGTTTTAAAATACCTCATTTAATCAGATCCACAATAGCTCCCTTAGCCATCAAGACTGACAACAACCACCAGCAATAAAGCATGAAGGGCAATCTGACCAACCTTCAGAGGAGAAATGTGAGACTGTAGCACATATCCGTGGACATTCTCTATTTGAGACAGGTTCTTTTCTGATACATGCACCAGTTCTGGACCTCTTACTTCATGAGTTAGCCGAGGTAAGGAATGATCATGTGGAGCATCCTCATCTTGGTATCGATACTTCTAGGAGAGAAGAAAAGAAAGAAAAGATGTATCAAATGTTTGAAAACTGTTCAGTCAGTCCATGTGAGTATTCTGCCCTCATCAACCAGACATAGTGCATACCTACTGTTGACTTCACCAGTTAGGTCTGACTGCTATTTCTTTTAGTGTTCATCACAAACCAGGGTAAGTGCAAGCAAAACCATATCAGTATTAACCAATGCTGATGGCTTTTCCTTACTGATAATATATTCCAATTATGAGCCACAAAAAGAATGGTGGCAAGATCAAGACAGTTTACTCAAGTAGAGAGAAGATAGCCCTCTAAATATTGAGGAAGAAAATAGAATTCTGCTATTTCTTTTCTAGAAAACTTAATTTTGTTGCTAGATATTTGAAAAGTTTAAATTTCCCCTGGTAATGAGGAAAAATGCTACCTACATTATTTCTATAAGCCTAAAAGGAAAGGTAATTGCATTTACTTTAGTTGACTCACTACGATGAACATTTATTTGGGTTAGTTGCAATGTAGGACAAAGAATTATAATTTCTAGGAATTAAGTTAGTTTTTAAAGAACTTAAAAAAATCAAAGAGTCTTCACAGATGATTCCTGACGTCAAAGGAATAACATCTCTTCTTGTTTCCTTTCCTTCTTTCCCTAACCTGCCTTATATTATCATAACAGTAAGAGAATCCTCTGGCAGATGTCATGGCTGGAGTCTTCCAAGCACATCTAGAAAGCTGGCCAGGAGAGAAGAAGGTCAAAACAAACAAACAAAAAAATCTCTGCACATATCCCTGGTGACAGGGTCATTCTCCTTTTCAGTATTGGCCTGGGTATCTATTTCTCTCTATCTTTCTGTTCTCCTTCTGAGCTATCCCTTAAGAAGAACACTACTTCAAAGTCTTTGGCCATCCAGGCGAAGAAAAAGGGACCACTTTACATGTGACTCCCAATCCCGCTAATAAATCATTTGCTAGTTGTGCTTGGCCTTTGAATCTGTGCATTTCACAGGAACATTAGAATCAGGGATTCAGATACCGTCACAGCACCATCTCAGGCTTCACTGTTACCTCTAATCTGTTCCCAGTGTCTCTGTATTGTTTTCATATCAGACCACTAGAAACACAGCTTATGAAGACATTTTTGCTTATTTTTGAGTTGAAAAAATATGCTGTCTTGGACATCAACTTTCAGTGAGACTCATAATCTGACAGTAACAAAACGGTGAGTAATTCAATTTGTCATCTAGTCTTAGTCAGAAGCAGATTATCAGCACATGTATTTTCTAGGAAGTCTATGCAAAGCCCAATGCAGTATTGGTCACAAAGTAATAACTATAACCAACAGTATCATCTCTGCCGTTGGTGAAGGACTCCTGCATTCTATCTCTTGAGGCATTCTGTGATATTCCATTTTGCTGAGACAAAACTAACGTGCATGAAAGTTAAGGCCATTGTTCAAGGTGATTAACTAGGGGGATCAGATTTGGGACTCTGTCCAGATAATTTAAATCTGAATCTTCTTTCTACTGCCATCAGCCCATGGTCTATACCGATAGGGACATGAAATCCAATTCTGAGAATTCACTTGGCAGCTTGACAGAAAAGCACCATTGAGGCAGCACACTGAAATGAGGTTAGAAAAATTCTGTGTGCTGCAAACATCATAGTTCCGTTTGTTGTTGTTATTCTTGTTGTTGCTGTTGAGTTTTTTGGCATTTTTGAGACAGGGTCTCCCTTGTATCCCCAGCTGGCCCGGAACTCACTATGTAGACCAGGCTACCCTTGACCTCACAGAGATCCACTTGTCTCTGCCTCCTAAGTGCTGGAATTAAAGGCATGTGTCACCACACCCAGCTGATTCTGTTTATTATTTTTATGGTATGAATAATTTGGGGAGGTAATCTTGGAAGCTGGAATTAACATTTCATACTCATCTCGATCAGTTATGTTTCCACTGGCCGTGGACACATGCCATGCATATGACCATTTTACTTTCTTTGGTTTACAACACATCTACTCCTACATCTGACCCACCTTCCAGTTCTCTCTCATGGAGGCACTAGTCTAATGCTTGTGCAATCACTGCAGTCAGAAAAGTAGGAGTCAGTTAGACTATCTCTTTTTTCAACCCCTACCTTCTGCCTGATATATTATGATGGAGCTACAGGTTTGAGGTAGGCAGAGGGAAAGACTGAAAGCAAACTAGTGCTCATGGTGGACAGTAGGAAGTTTTCCAAGAGACCCGGAGCCTAAATAATTGTCTTCTCAGTGCTGGCCACGTACTCCCCTTCCTATTAGTTTCTCCTTTAGTTGTTTTGGCTTTTGACTAAGAGTTGACAAGAACTGGTTTAATAGCAGTTTAACTCAAGCTAAAGCATCCAATTGAATTACCCAGATATTACAGTGTGGTATAGAGAAATTTCTCATCTGGGAAAAGAAATCTTTAACTCTGTCATTTGAGTTGCAATAAGACTAATAACATTAAGGCTAATTGTAGTTATAGTGCTGATATTAGTAGAAATATGAACGTCAACATTGATGCAGTAACAATATCACAGTTACTATGCCAGGAACCATATTAAATGTTCTATATGCATCTTAACCATCTGAGAGATGTTCTGTTGTTCTCTTTATTTAAGACTCAGGCAGTTAGGAATTTCTTCCAAGATCACCTGCCTAGTGAATTGACAGCTACATTTCAAATATGTGTTTGTTTCACTAAAACAAAAGCATTTAAATAATCTTGTAAACTGGTTAGAACTCAGAGCTCTTTACAGATTGCCTTTATCTTCAGGAAGAAAAATTTAAGAAATTTTCTGAAATCATCTAACGAGGGAGAGAAACAGTTCTGCTGAAGTCACAATGTGATTTAGAGTCCACTCTAATGTTGTGAGAAATTCTGAATCATCTGTCACTTAGGGATATTTGGGTAAGTGCTAATGCCACCCAGGGCTCTGCTGAAGGCCTCTATAGTACTGGCAAAAAGGCTATTAGGAAAGCTCTCTGCCTTGAAATCTGGCCTTACTCTCTTCCTCTCCAGTTTGAGCCATCAGAGAGGACTCCCCCATGCAAACAAAAGTAATCTCTGTCAACAGGTACTTCTGTTTTCATCTCTGATGGAACAGAGGCAGTAGTTGTGTTCTGGATTGGGGGTACTGAGACACCACCTATTCTATGTCAGTTGTACTTAGCACATTTTGCCTGTGACTTCAGGATTCCTGTCCTTTTTCCTGTTAAGTATAAGCTTACCTTTAGCCTTATATTCCATCAAAAGTCTCTTTTTATATATGTGATAATTAAATTGGGTGTCATTTCATTGGAAGCATTCGGTGACTGCTAAAATCCACAAGAGACCCTTCTTATATCCTCTTATATGCTCCCACAGCATTCTGCACAGATTCTAGTCAGTGAATAATAACCATATTGTACTGACCTGTCCATGTGTCTACCTCCCCTACTATCCATTATTGCCTCAATTGCAGAGAGGGAAACACATTTATCTCTGAAACTCCAGCCCTTACCTGACATGAAGTGAGAGACCAGTAAGTGTGAGTTTAATGGAATTAACTTTAAATTATCTGATCAATACTATGATCTACCTAATCAAAAAGCCCTCCAAGAAGATCCCTCATGCAATTATCTTCATCTCATTTATCATTCACAGGCTCCCACATGAAAGGACAAAACTCAGAATGACTTGCTAGACCCTGTGCAGTGGATTGTGCTGCTGTTAGTGCGAGTCGGAACCATCCTGAGCTGCTCAGAATTTAAACAGAGGAATCTACACATGCTTGATCCAACACTGGAGGTTCTCTGACAGCTTGCAATGTGGTACTGTGCTAGCAAAATAGATCATACTTGATCCAGAAGTGTAAATCTTCCAAGTTCTCATAAATGAGAAATACGTTCATCTTTTGTTGAACAAAAAAGTGTTCTACTTCTCCCTTGTAGCAGGAGTTGGCGCTGGACTGATAGGAGAGGAGAGAGAAAGAAGGGAAACAGAGAAACACACACATACATGGGGGCGGGGTGGGAGACACATACAGAGACAGAGAGAGAGAGAGAGACAGAGACACAGAAACAGACAGACAGGCATATAGACAGACAAAGGGAGAGGGAAGAACAGATAGAAAACTGAGGCACGCCAGTGATGTCCTTGTGATTCTGAGTGCTCAGTGTTACCATAGTACCTAATAATTACTAGATACAATCTGCAAACACTTTGCAAAATGTTAAAGAATTACACTAGTTAAGACTTTGAACATTATGAAGCAGGCACAAAATTAAGGAATGGTAAGCCTGTAGACCAAGCCTGACATTTAGGAAATGCTCAAAATTTGTAAGTTCGGCTGCTTCTGATTATGGTATTGACAAAAATCATTCTCTGTGTCAAATCTCATCTCCTTCTGTAACCTAAGCCTTTTAAGGACAGAAACCAAAGCTTTACTTTCGTCTCTTTCAACATTCAATTAGAATACTACATAGTCAAGTGACTGAGGGCTCTTGCTGGAAGAAAACCTCTTCTTTGAAAAATATGATTTGGCAGAAATGAAAGACCTATTTCAGGAGAAGTGTGCAGTAAGAACATAAAATAAATAACAAATTTGTAAGGAAGTGATGATTCATAGGAAATAATACAAATGCAACTAAGAACATAGGAAAAAATCAGTGGGAGAAAGATGTAGTTTCAAAAATGAACCAAACGGAAAGGAGGAGTTTTCATTTCCTCTCCAAACTGGAGATCTGGCATAGTTGGACAGAACGTCCAGTCATCATCCTACGCTAAATAATCTATTTTATTTGTATAGTTTGATAGGTTTTTTTTGGAATTATAGCTTATTTGAAGCTTGTGGCATGAACAGTCAGGTCTTCAAGTTCCTTTCTGCTTTTCGTGAGGCCTTGGCCTCCCTGAGACTTGTGTCCCATCCACATGACACACCTGCTGCAGCCTCTCTCTAATTCACTGCCTCCCTTTCAGGAAGGTACCACTGGATGAGGAGGAAGAAGAAGGACG